GCATCGAATGCTCTGGCTACGGCTTTCGCTTCCGCTTCGCCGCCGATAATGATTCAAGACGACACCAGACAGAGCCTTCCGTGGGTATAGGAGCAAAATCACCTTCACAAAAAACGTCAAGCTCCCAGGCACAACAATTACGATGGTCAACCTCGGACAGCCTTCACCCTAAAAAACATCGTCTCAAAAGGCATTTGACAACGGCAAATTTCACGCATGGCACTCATAAGATGAAGCGGCAGGATAGAAAAGAGGTAGAAAAACAAGAGTTCAGTGTAATTGGGCATGGAACATACTCTCAGCCGGATTTCAGCGACCCTGATGAATCATTCATTAGAGCCGCAAACCTGACGTATCCTGCCCGGGACACAGACAGTGCAGAGGAAACTGTGGCAAGAAACACAACGAAGACTCAATGCAAAGCCATTGTTTGTACAAGGCGTCGGATCACGTTGGACTCTCCAAATTTGGCCCTCCAATCTGTTCCAAACCCTCAAGTCCGCATGCTCATGCACCACTGTGAGTTGCCCCTATTAGTTGCCACCTCCAGTCATATCTCTAGCAACTGCTAACCCAGTTATAATAGTTTCAGAAGCTGTTGCACCAATCATGGTAGTTCTGGATTGCATGGCCAATGGATATCGAGATATCATTCTTCCTCTAGCTGTGGGAGATAGTCTAGTACAAAGAGCAGTAGCAGTCGTTGCAGCCCATCATTTGTCTGCCAGCAGACCGGAACTGCAAACATCTGCTCTAACAGTCCAGACGGATATCATTACCAAACTTCGTCGAGATGCCTTTGAACCGACATCTGACAGTGTGTTTTCTGTGGCAACGCTGGCGACCGTCCTTGTCCTTTTGACAGGCGACACGGTGACTGGTGGGAGTGACTTCAAACACCTGCTTGGGATTCTTCGATTCTTATTACAATCTTCCCGCACGTGCGAGGGGCTGACACCTCCAGCACGCAGCTTTTTCCAACAGCAAGCAAAGATGTGAGTAATTGCCTTTCTTCTTCACGTGCATCATGCTCCATCTGCTAGTCAAACCTGCTAAACACCACCCCAAGGTTCGAGTTCTTCGGCTTCCCGCTATCCCATGAGACCGAAGGCGTTCGAGTCCTTCAAGACGAGAATGCAAACTACCTTGAGTTCATGGACTACGCCATCTCACCCCAGTCCGAGCACTACGCCACCGTCAATATCATGCGGTCAGCCATTGAAGATGCGCAAGAAATCTACCAGAGACGAGCACGCTCCGCATTGACGCCCGAAGAGTCCTGCGTGCTTTTACAAAGACTGCAGCAGAAGACAATGCTGATTAGTGATGAAGTTGACGGCGCCCACACGCTTGTTTGGGTATACTTCATTGCTGCAGCGGAAAGCAGGCTGCCTGAACATCGTCACTATTTCACACATCAGCTTCAGATGCTGTATCAACGAACTGGATTCCGCAGTATCAGCACGGGTCTCCAATCGTTGAACAAATTGTGGGAAGCGAGCAAGGAGGGTAGATGGACTGAGATTCTGGCGCGAGATAGTCCTGTCCTTGTCATGTGATTGAGGGCAGATGAGATTTGATCGATCATTGAGGTGTCCTTCTGAGAAGTGTGCATCAGAACAATTCATCACGTCTCCTTTAGCAATTAGCAAGTGAGACATGAAACTTCAAGATGACATTGCTTCATTAGGTGCTACACTGATATGGGTATCTGGCTTGAAATACAGAATAGCTGTGTTGCGTTGAATCTGACGAAACCCCACCGATCATTAACCTTTCCTCCATCACTCATAACAATGCTCGTCAAATATACGATTGCATCTCCTCTGCCACCAGGCAGGCCTTGTTATGTCAGGATAAAACCTCTTTATCATCATCTCCTCTTCGGCATCGGGCTCTTCGAAGCCCTCGGACTCTTGGACACGATCCCCTCTCCTTGCGTTTTCATCTCACTCATCGCTCCCTTGATCTGTTCTTGCTTCTTAGAGACATGCCTGAATCGCTCTTCAACCTCATTCTCAAGATCTCTTTCGATCTTTCGCTTCTTCTGTCTAGCTTCCTTCGAGCGTTGGATGATGCTTGAAAACTGGTCCAGGAACCAGTCGCCGGCTTCTTCCCATTCAGAGGCAGGGAGCAAGCGGAAGAACTCGCCTTGTCTTCCAGCATCAAGGTTCTTCTGTACGAACTCAAGGCGTTCGGTCAGCGGCTTCTGCAACACGTCATCCGTGAGGACCTGTGGGCCTGCACGTGGATTGGTGTCAAAGTCCTCGTCTTTGAGCTTGTCATATGACATAGCGAAAAGTTCCCCGGTGTCATAGTCAAGATCGTGGGTGCTCTCAGTCTCTTCATCTGACCTCTGGTCTGAATACTGGTGTTGGCGAGTTGATTCGGCTATGACATTCGATCTGGGTTCTTCTGACTTGAGTTCGTGGTGCGTATGAAATCTCGGTATTCTCAATGGCTTGTGAACTTCTTTGTGGGTCTTGGCTCGACCGAATTGTGGAGCAGTCACGGCGTCTTTGTGAACTTGACTATACGTAGGCGGCTGACTTGTGGCAGGAATGGCTTTACCATTCCTAGGTTGCTGATTTTCTCGAGGTAGCCGGGTGACAGAGCGTTCTTGGTCACGAATGGCCGCAGATTGATGGAACATGTTAGTCCTCTGCGGGAGGGCATGCTCAACCTTCGCTGTTCGACCTCGAGGAAGGGACGCGGGAGTCACGGGGTGCAGCGATTGATCGACAACAGTCGCCATTTGGTTTGATGCGGGGCTATTTCCAAAAGATTCGTGGTGCTGTGAACGAGGATTCTCTTCTAGCCATTCCGAAGGATCGCCGTTGGTCGTAGTGGGATATGAATCACCATCAATCGTTAGGAACTCTGCCCCACGAGCCCGTAGTGCCATTCGGACCTGTTCATGGCGGGGCAGATTTTGCGCACCCTCCTCTCGAAGATATTGAGTATCTTCATGCGTGAATTCATATTTCTCCATGTTCACATCCTGTTCGTCATATTGATCTTCTTCGTCTTCTTCTTCAGTGTCTGAATCCTCACCCTGAAGCACATCTTGGTCTCGTTGCCGATGGGTCTGATTATCCTCCGATTCACCCTTGACAGTAGATGGGAAACTGGTAGTATCAAGACTCCCTGCGTCGGTGTCGTATTGGTCGCGGGTGTGGCCTAGTTCTCGTCTAGTCTGGCGAGGGGCTGCATGTTGCTGAACTAGGGCCGAAGTGTTTTGGGTATGGCCAGCCCCACGAGCTGGGAGCCCAGATGGGAGCGAGCCCTGTTGGTTCGGCAAGTCCCTTCTTATAGACACTTTGGCGTTTGCTCCGAGTCTTCGCCGATTGCCATTGGCACTTGACTGAGCGTGGTGGTCTTCCGGAGCGCTGCCCGTTTGGTCTCGTCCTTTGACGAAGTTCTGCATGCTGTGCATGTTGAGTTGTCGATAGCACTGCAAGTAGTTGGCCGCCCGGGTGTAGCCGGGCCAGCTGTCCGAAAGTGAGAGATCTTGAGTGAAGGTCGAAGTGCGATGGGTGATGGTCGACGTGAACAGGAAAGCGCGGTTTTGTTTGGCTCTAACCCGTTGCGGGATCGTTAGCGTACCCATGACGCGATGACGATCTTATCTCCGGCGCAAGACACCTTCCGTCTCATGCTGGATAGGTTGAACATCTACGCCTTCATGGCAACTTCATCCATGACTCTGAAATCGTGATAATGGTTTTGGCGCACCAACATGGATGAATGTTACCTTTACAGGCTCCCAAACGAGGCAAGTCAACTCTCATTAACCTTCACTTCCGTGCTAATTCGTAGCTGTAGCTTTTGCTCTATCTTTTCGCACCTTTACCAACACCTGAACTCGTGCCTCTGACAGTCCTGTCACGTCGTGTGTATATCATTCTCTTGCGCATTCTCCACAATCGCATAGTCACGGCCGCAGAGCTCCAGTCGCACACTCTTCTCCTCGAATGCTTCCATCCATCCGCAAAGCTCACTGAGCCGCCATACTTTTGTACATACCATGGCACGGACGGTTTATCGCGTTATGAGGACTCGACCTCCATACTGGGAGATCCAAAGAGGCTCGGAGAGCTACACAATATGTACTCCCGGTTCCGACCGTATCGGCGAGAGCTGGAACCGGGTGGACGGAGAGTGCTTCCCCGCCCAGGAGATGTACCTGGAAGTCGAACTTTCCCAGGCACGGTTCAAGATCGGCATAAAGGAGATACTGTGAAACAGATATTAGGGCTGGAGGCACATGAGCTGTTCACCCAGTTGGTTGCGCAAACAAATCTGGTAAAGATTGGCCCTCGAAATGGACTCTTCACCTGCTTCGTTGGCGTCGAGGAAGGAGTGCTGAGAGTGTGGAGGGATTGGTTAAAGGACATGGATGCGAAAGGGAGAATAACTCGTGCAACTCTAGAAGTCGAGACCGCAGAAGACATGGACAAAGGCAAGGGAGTATCGAAAGAAGTGCCTGTAGCCGACATGGATATAGAGGACCCCCGAATACTATGGGTCACTTCTTCGAAGAACACGGGCATCCGCTTCAATGTAAAAGAGCGAATGCTTCGGAGAGACGCACCAATCATGATGCGTGCAGATGAAGAATCCGCTGTGAGCTATGAGATTGAATATGATGGTACGGGTTTCTTCGCATGCGCTTGATTGGCTTGCGTGCTGACTTTGATCTAGAGCTTCTCATACGCACATCGTATCTTCTCCTCATGCTCGAGAAGTCCAGAGTGCAGGAAGACAACGCATCCGGGAAAGCAATCGTATTTGGATCGTTTGGATAAGATAGACTCTCTCTCCGTTTGATATCAAGCTCAATAAGGAGGGTTGAAGTCTTACTTCCGAGCATCTGGCAGCGTGTACGACAACATTAAGGGCTCCTCGTCGCTGCAACTTTGACAAAAATTGGCGGAGAGCCTGCACAATGCGAGAGCAAAAAGAAGTAAAAAGAAACACCAGTGAGCAAAAAGATCAAATGACCCTAACCCGATTCGAACGGGTAGCCTTCAGGAGACTCCATGTGGGTACTGGAATCTGACGCGCTACCATTGCGCCATAGGGCCCAGATGAAGAGAATTGTCAAGTTAATTGATGTATATATTCAGACCTTTTGCTGCACCGAACAAAACATTATGCAGAACTCACCACAAAATCACACGAGTCACAGCAGAACTCCAAGCGAGACCCACTACCGTCTGGCAAAAAGGACAGCTGTACAAAACCCATAATTCTTGCAAGCTAGCCCCTCTCTCTGCCATTCCGCGATATTGTTCCTGCGACCCCGCTAATTGTCCCCACCGGGAAAAGCTGGGCCTCGGCCGCGTCCAAATGCATCTCTGACCCACTCTCAGTGACCCAGGCCCAAGATAGTGATTCATTCAGCCGCGCTATTCAGCGAGTTGTTGAGGTAACTTCGGAAATCGTAAGAGCGCGATACTCAATGATTCTAAGCCCTCAATGTCGGCAGTGAGTAATGTTGATCTCTGCCTTGATTAACGTTCTCTCCAACGAGGAATTGAACAGAAAGGGAATTAATTGAATTCAATTCTTCATGCGGGCATGTGTCTAGTGCTCTCGGTAAGCGAGATATATGAGAGATTCGGATGTAATCGATGCACATGACTTCATGTATCACAGGGCAGAGTAGATATATGCCGTTAGCGTAGGAGTAAATCAGTCTTATTTACAATGCCTTGTGCACGATACTTAGATAACAGAAATCCAAATACTGCGACAAATTTGGCAGCTCGCGTGGGTGTGTTGGTATTGTACTAAAACCCCCCGCACAAGGTGTAGGGGAAAGAGTTGCAGATTTCCTACTCTTCATAAAGACTAGATCCATGCCTCTCAGTCTTTTCTTTATATAGAGATATATCTCATGTCTTCTCTTTCTAGGAGGTTAAGATTGCGTTCCTACTCCCCTCTCTATTTGATAAATACAGGGTACACCTCAATCTGAAATGTGAATCCACAAGCACAAATCGCAGCATGGCCTCTTTGCTTTTCCCTCTCGCTGACTTACGAAATTTGATGTTCACAACTCCTGATATCGTGTGTCCTCGTTACACGACTTCCGTTTAATGTACGTCGTCCTTGCTTTTGCTCAGCCTGGTAGGTAGGTTGCGCTCATCCCCGCTGCTGTGGCGTACTTCTGCCTCTTTCCCGCTCGTTCCTGGGATACTTTCCCCCTCCCGCACACTTGCATGCATGGCTCTGGCTGGGATCGGGATCGGAATCGGGATCTTGTGTCACAGATTCTGCTTCTTGCTCTTTTCTTCTGTGAGATCTATTGGGTGGAGCGGATGAGGCGTTGATGGGTGTCTCTGTGTTTCGGTACTTTCTTTCGCGTTTACAATTCTAGGTATTTGATGATGTGAGGAATAGGCTGTCAATCTAGGTGAAACATTGTATACTTAAGAAGATATGTACTTATGTATCATGTGGCTGAGTGGATAGCTATACAAAAGAAACTCCAAGAGCATGATCAAGAAGGTGAGGCAGAAAGGAACAAACACGCTCGGAGAACGTCGGCGCTGGATGCCATCTCCACCCAGTCTACCTTTTCAGGGTCGAAATCCCGCCATAAATACACGGCGCGCACACATACTCGATCCCTATTCGTTCTCGATTACCCTCCACGATGGCGTGCCCTCTTTCCATTGGCTGTATGCACGCACACTTCAAAGTCCGTTCACCCACTCCAAAACACCCGATTCGATTTCGATTCAACTCATCGTGTTGGATTCTTCTGTCATCGATCTGATTGGAAAATCATGTGGGATTGCAACCAGGATGGGTACCAGTACTGGGGTGTGGAGCTGGAGGAGGGGGGGCCAAAAGGGTAACCCTTGTGGCGTTTAGCTCCCGTAAATGGAGGCGTACTTATGCAGTATGCGGAGTATGACTGCGGCGGCGGCGAGGCACGTACTCTCGCTTTTGGATGAGGTGGTGGTCATGCTGTGCTCACTGCAGTTACTGCATATGGGTTTGCGAGTTTTGAGGCGTGAGGCGCGTTGTCCTTATAAGCAGGAAGGAAGGAAAGCTGGAGTCTAGATGACGCTTGCTTGCATTACTGTGGTTCTTTTCTGGACTTCGCATCAAATCTAAATGTTGCTCATCTCTCTGTCTGTAGATCTACAGTGATAAGCAGACTGCCATTGGACCACGTCCGCCCGAGTCTAGCAACTACTTCGGTACCTTTGTTTGGGACCAACACATCACCGACGATTTGGTCGACCAAGACACAAGGCAGCGAATATACACTTCAGGCTCGGCTCCGGATATCAAGTCCCACGACCACGACCACGTTGTGTTGCAGTAATCTTTCAAGTCCGTTTTGTGTTTCCCGGATTCGACGTCTCACACATCCTGCCTACTGCTTGTACACATCCACCCGGTGTCATGTACAAGAATACGCGCGAGATGATGTATGTGCCTCACATACCATCCATACCAGTAGACATATACACGGTACGTTTCTAGAAAAGCTTCAAAAGTGGAGATGTAGCTGACGAGAACACGGAGAAAGGTGCGCATCTTCGACGCCAGTACACGACCTTCTCTCCTACAACGGCTCCGGAAAGCTGTTGTTTCAGGCGGCGGAACATGTTTGATTGAGTTGGTTGAGTCGCGGGGCTTCATGTACGTATACTATGATTCATCTTTCCCATTCCCCTTGTGTTGAATCTCACAACTGCATTCTTGAATAATAAGAAAAGAGTACCAAGTCGCTGACTGACATACATCGTGACCAGGTTTTCAGTCCCGCTTAATACCCCCAACCCCCTGACGAGTTATGTGCAAGCACGGTGGCTGGAAGAAGGATGTCTGCACGTGAGCAAAATGGCGTCGGAAGAGCGGCGGGAGAGGTGGGGTGGGTATAAGAGACGGAGTGTGCAGAGCGAGGAGATGGATCCTAGTGACGGAGATGAAGTGGTGGAGGTTGAGACAGATGATCATCCGAATTTGCATATGCGCTGGACGTGGAGTGAGTTGCAGAGGTGATGGGGGGGGGGGGGGGGGGGGGGGGGGGGGGGGGATGGTAATGGTGGAGCGAAATGACGGACACTGTAAGAACAGGGAATGGCGATGGCTTTTCTGTGCCAGCGATCGACGATATGTGTGAATAAGATTTTATTATGGGGTATACATTATCTAAACGAACACATCATTCTGTCCATATTGAAGCCGTTCCAGGCTCGTTGTACTTTTGTTATCGTCCTACATCCTTTGATCTTGCTGTATATTCTGGTTGTTGGCTCAGTCTGAAGCAGGGAATTGCTGTCTCTACTGCTTCTTTGCGTCCCTTTCGGCCTTCCTCAAAGCACGCTTCCGGATATCCTCGTGCATCCCTCTGTTGACCTTGACGACGAGATGAGACCTCTCGCCAATGAATCTTGAGAGAAACCACTGCATGAGGCCATGGCTCCAGTACGGAGTGCTGGTGAACGCAACACCCTGAGCACCTCCAGAGCGGCCGAGCTTGCTTAATGTGGCGTGGACAAATTGCTTTGGGGTGGGCACAAGTGCGCTTGACTTCCTAATCTTGGACATGGCGGTGGTGATCAAGTGAGACTGTACGCACTGTACATGAACACCATGAGGCTGTAGCTCGGAACCAAGAGCAGTGGACCATTGCTGGAGGAAAGCCTTGCTGCCAGAGTATGTGGCCAAAAGCGGGGTGGGGAAGAAGCCACCGAAAGAAGCCATTGTGAGGACCAGTCCACGCTTGCGAGAGATCATGCCTGGAGTGATGAGCTGTGTGACTCGGAGTGTAGCCATACAGTTGATCATGATAATATCGTTCAACTCTTGCTTTGGTGTCTCAACGAAAGGCACCGGAATGCTGTGGCTTAGGCCAACATTGTTGAGTAATATGCTGATATCAAGCCCATCGACTAGCTTCTTCAAGCTGTTGTAGTCTGAATCCTTGTTCAGGGCAAAATCCATGGCAAGTGTCTTGACGGCGACTTTGGGTCCATATTTGGAGGAGATGTCGGCGGAGAGGGAATCGAGCTTAGCTTGCGTGCGCGATACGAGGATGAGATTGTAGCCCTTCGCTGCGAGGGAAAGAGCGAATTCTTTACCCAGGCCGTCGGAGGCACCAGTAATGAGTGCCCAGGTACCACGAGGGCCATAGGAAGTGAGCTGAATGGTCTTAGTAGCTGTACAAGTTGAGGAGGGGCAATTCTAGTATCAGAGGACGTACAGATTTTCCTGGAAGAACGAACAAGCTGAGAAGAACTCGAACAGTGCTGATGATGGGCGCTGCGACCGAAGCAATTCCTACTAACAAGAAACCATAGATGGCAGCTTGAACGAGAGAATTGTCTGCATCGATGTGAACCCCGATGGATTCGGTGAAATTTGACATGACGGAAGTAACAGTGTGAAAGGACCACTCTTTCGAACTCGGGACGCTGCAATGCCAGCTAAGTGACCACGGAGAAGAAGGAAGCAGGACGCTGACTTTCAGTAATCTCCAAGCTTGCGTCCCAACCCAAGCAGTCCGACGGCCGATTGGTGGGCAGTTGTTCTAGACCGAAAGTGGAAACACTCTCTTAGCAACACAGAAATTGTAACTTTTATTGTTGGCTGAAGGACTCTAGCATAGCTTCTCTGAGAGCAAACCACATTCAAACTTCGATAGGTAACTCCGTTGTATTGTCACACATCAAGTATATCAAGGTTGCGCCGTCATTGCTCCTTCAGGCTTGTCGGGGTGGAACAACTTGCCGCCGAAGGGTGGCCCGTGTACCGCTTAGCCGCACCACACCCAGCACGAATATTCAACCGTGATCTCGACGAACGACAACAACACCAGACCGCAACCATGGCTACCGAGCTCACGTACGTTTTACATCTCAGAGAATTCGTGAATACCTACTGATTGCGAAACAGTGTCCAGTCGGAACGCGCCTACCAGAAGCAGGTACTACTATCCTCACCTCGCGATATTACTCCGTCTACGAATACTAATGGCATGCGATAGCCTCACATCTTCCTGAACCACAAGGTCGGTGGACCGCGCAAGAACACCCGCACCAGGAGATGGTATAAGGAT